TTCTGGAGTGAGTGTCTTCCACACTTATACGCCTCCCAAGCACTGTGTCCAGCTGTGTTACTGCGTGAGCTGAGCTGTGCCATTCGTAGCAAGGTGGTCAAGAATCAGTCTCCCGAAGCCTGGAAAGACAGAACACTCCCACCAGGATTTAGACTTGCTGGTGCTGCCCCAGGACCTCCACCAAAGCCCATGTAAAGGCCTGGCTTCATAAGGACAGAAGAAACACCATCTTCTAGGAAAAGAAAATAAAGTGGAAATTTTACTTAAAAAAAGAAATTACAGTCTGGGAAGTTAAACAAAACTACTGAGACTAGAGAGATGGCTCAGCAGTTAAGAGCACTGACTGCTCTTGCAGAGGACCCAGGTTCAATTCCTAGCACCCACATGGTGACTAACTACTGTCCCTAACTCCATTCCAGGGGATCCAATGCCCTCTTTTGACATCCTCAGGCATTGTACAGCTTGGGTGCACCTACACACATGCAGACAATACACTCATACACATAAAAAACTGCTTTAATAACTAAACTATCATAATTCTTGAGCTAAAGATATGTAATTATATTTAAGAATGTAAGCTTGCAATTCTATGTCTCCTATAATTTTTTAATATTTTTAACTAATAAAACCATACTACCAAGCCTCAACAATACTGTGAAATTCATCCCTGTTGCTTAATCTGAGTTTGGCATTCACTCCCTTAGAAAATTCCACAGCTGATAGAAAGTTTTTCAACATAATCATGTTTTTTTTTTAAGTAATCCTGATTTTAAAAATGTTTTAATTGAAAAAAGATACTTCTTCCCAAACTGCCAGCTGTTGTGGTTACACACAGAATTCACCCCATAGTAATGAGACTCATGGTTAGAGGTCTCTGCACCACTGGCTACCCTAGAAGTGATGCGGCTGCCTCTTGCACAGCTGGGCTGTCCTCTCACTGCTGTGAACTGCCCTCCCCACTCTTCTTAACATATTTTAAGCTTTATTTTTTTTTTGATTTAATAAAGTTTTATTTTTCCAAATGTACAGTTGATTGAACCTATTTAGGCATCTTCACCAGCAGCTGGGGCGTTGCCACCCTTTTTGTTTTTGGTGTAAATTACTTGGGCTCTGTGGTTTTTTTTTGTTTGTTTGTTTTGTTTTTTGGTTTTGGTTTTTTTGTTGTTGTTTTTTGGTCTTTTTGAGACAGGGTCTCCCTGTAGCCCCAGCTGTCCTGGAACTCACTATGTAGACCAGGCTGGCCTTGAACTCACAGAGATCCGCCTGCCTCTGCCTCCTGAGTGCTGGGATTAAAGGCGTGCACCACCACGCCCAGCTGGGCTCTGTGTTTTGAAACCAGTTTGATAAGTCCTTTACTAAGGAGTTCCTGAAGGGCTGCCCTGGCCAGGGAACCTGGAATCTTCAGTCTCTCAGAGACCATGGCTAGGGTCATAAGTTTATAGTTGGGAACTTCCTTACAGAGTTTGTTGTATGTAGCCTTGACAAACAGGACAGGTTGTTGAGCTTGTCCCGGACTTTGCCTTTGGCCCACTTCTTCTTTTTGGCCTTGCCCCCAGACTTATTTACTGGGTCCTTGTCTTTCTTAGCCGACTTCTGGCGTCCTTCTTCTTCTTGTCCTTGGGTGGCATGGCGAAGCTCCAAGAGCAGTGGCAACCACTGCAGCCTCGCTAAGATGTCAGACAAAAAACCAAGCTTTATTTCTTTATGCATATCTTTGTGTGTGTATGTGTGTATCCCACAGGTGCCTGCACAGTCCAGAAGAGGGTGTTAGATCCCCTGGAGCTGGACTTACATAACATGGGTAGAGGGCACTGAACTTGGGTCCTCTGAAGAGGAACAAGCATACTTCACAGCTCAACATTCTCTCCTTAATTTTTTATAACTTGGATTTTTGATAAGTTGTTAGTTGTTTACTATCAGTTACTGATAAGTATTTCTACTTGTTACTTTTGCTCAGAAAGGAGAGAGAGAGAGAGAGAGAGAGAGAGAGAGAGAGAGAGAGAGAGAGGAAACAGGGTCTTGTGTAGCTCAGGCTGGTCTCAAATTCCCTATGTAGCTGAGGATGACCTTGCAGATGTGATCTTCCTGCCTCTACCTCCCAGGGATTACAGTGTTTTTAAAATTTGTTTGGCACACGCCTTTAGTCCCAGCACTTGGGAGGCAGAGGCAGGCAGATCTCTGGGAGTTTGAGGTCAGTCTGGTCTACATAGTGAGCGCCAGGCCAGCAGGGGCTACAGGGAGACCCTGTCTCAAAAAGACAAAAAAAAAAAAAGAATTTGTTTGTTTGTGATAAGGTCTCACATTGTAGCCTTGCCAGGCCTAGATCTCCTTGTAGCCCAAGCTGTCCTCCAATTCATGGCAATTCTCCTGCCTCAGCCTGTAAGTACTGGGATTACAGGTGTGAAGCACTACTCCTAGCTTATTAAAACATTTCTCCTGATTCTCATCACTCTTCATTGCTACTCCATGGTACTTCATGGTTCCCCATTAAAACCCTGCTTTAGGGTTTGGAGGAGGGTTCAGTTAGTAAATTCTATTCCCAGAACCTGGTAAAAATGCTGGGTATGGTGTTGCATTGCTCATATGTAATCTCAGTGCTGGAGAGGGGAAGGAGGCTCACTAGCCAGTCAGTCTAGCCTAACTGATGAGTTTGAGGCCTATGCAGGAGAGACCCTTTGCTATAGAAAATGGTCAGTCTTCCTGAGCATGGCACATGAGGTTATCTTTTGACCTTTACATGAGCACTCACACATGAACATGAACACATAAATACATTTCCACACATTAAAAAAAGACCATGAAGTCCTCCTTCCTACCATATTGGTGAATAACCCTTGTTGGGGTAGGAACTTAACCCATCTGCCTCAGTCCTCCTTACAAATTGAAAGCTACAAGAAATTTTTATGGACTTATTAGCAAGTTTACTATTTTGTCTTGAGCTCTTCCATTCAACAAAATAGGATGGAAGGCCTGACAAAGTAGTAACATATTCAAATACGGAGGGCTTAGAATTATAGGATAAATAGTTGGGTCATTATGGAATGGAGGCTTGTAAAGATTTCTGAGCAGAGTAGGATGCTGGGGAGATGACTTAATGTGTAAGCTGTGCAAACATGAGGACCTGAGTTTGGATCTCCATTACCCATGTTAAAAAAGTGTGCATGGAGCTGGACGTGGTGGTGCACGCCTTTAGTCCCAGCACTCAGGAGGCAGAGGTAGGTGGACCTCTGTGAGTTTAAGGCCAGGCTCCTCTACATAGTGAGTTCCAGGCCAGCTGGGGCTACAGAAAGACTGTCTCAAAAAGACCAAAAAAAGTGGGCATGGTAGCATGCACCTGTAATCTAGCACTGTGAGGCAGGGACAGGTGGATCCCCAAGTGTTTGCTGACCATCCAACCAGTGAGCTCCAGGTTCAATGAGAGACTCTGTTTCTAAAACTGAGGTGGAGAGTGATACAGGAAGATATGTGACTTCAGTCTGTGGTCTTCACACATGCATGCACAGGCACACACATCTGCACGCAGACATGCATACACACATATGCATGCTCATGCACATACAAATTACTGAACAGAGTAACAGTGCAATCATTCACATCTGTGTTGTAAGAGGAAAACTGGTAGCAAAGGAGAGAGATATGGAACATAAGGAAAATTAGGCTGCCTGGCATGGTGGTACATGCCTGTAGTTCCAGTACAGCAAGTTCCAGGCCAGCTGGGACTACAGGGAGACCCTATCTTAAAACAAAAACAAAAAAGATATCCAGGTATGATGGTACATATCTATAGTCCCAGCATTCAGGAAGATCACAAATTTGAGTAAAACCTGGGCTATCCAGAGACATCTTGTCTGGGGGGAAGAGTTGGTCATGGTAATGCAGACCTTTAGTCCCAGGACTTGGGAGGCAGAGGCAGCCTGATTTGTGAGTTCAAAGCCAGCCTGGTCTAATGTACCAAGTTCCAGGCCAATCATCCAGGCCATGTCAAAAAACAAAACCACCAACAACAAAACCTCTCTGTCCTCTTCTCTCTCTCTCTCTCTCTCTCTCTCTCTCTCTCTCTCTCTCTCTCATAACTTGTAGACACAATGGTATTTGGTTGGATGTGAGGTGTTCGTGAGACCAAGGATTTGAATAGAATTGAGTTTTCTGGCCTGAATCTTTGAAGGTGTTTATGTTGTTAACTGAACAGATGTACAGGGATTGTTTGTGTATTCTTTGAAGAGGTTAGATACAACAGGGGTTAAGGAGGATTTTTAAAATTACATTTATTGTGCACATGCATGTGTGAATGTAGGAGGACAACCTAGTCGGGATCCTTCTACCTTGAGGGGCCCAGGGATTTAACTCAGGTCACCAGGCTTAGCAGCAAGCTGTCCTGTCGACCTGTGGAATAGTCCTTTGGTGCTGCTATTCAGCTGGAAATATCCAGCAGGAGAGATTTCTTAGTATAAAGGAAAGGAATACTCTTGTAATGAGAACAGCTCATTTTTTTATAGCTCTCAGTCATTAGCACCCCAAACTGAGGTGGTTATTACTTCGCCTGCAGTAAAAGCTTGATTATAGCCCCTAACTGCTTACTGTGTGAAGGTCCTTGGTTCCTGAAACTTCCACAGGCAAGAGGATAGTAATGGTGATTAATCATCGTGTAGCTCAATACAAAGACAAGAATATTTACTGTGACTTCCTGAGGGTGCCCGCAAGGCTTTTTCCTGGGGCTCACAGGGCAAGGGAACTGGACAGCTCCCCCTGTGGTCTTGAGCCTCACAGAGCCTGAGCCGGCCGGTGGCGAACGGCCACCACCGCCGCGGGTCTTGGCAGAGTCGGCTCCAAGGCAGCTGGCGCTGACATTCCGGGTACCTTCCTCCCTCGGGGACCCGCGCCCGCCAGCGGGCAGGGGGCGGGGCTGGCTCTAGACCCCGCCCACTCCCCCTCTCGCCCCGCCCTCGCCGCCGGCTCGTTCGCTGCCGTGCGTGCGCGCTTGCGCTGGCCCTGGACTCGGAGCAGCCATGATGGTGGGTGTTTTCGGCCGCGCCGAGCTGGGGCGCGCAGTGGGGGCGGCGGGCGCGGGGACCGCGCGGACCTGGCACTAATGTCTGTCTTTGTGTCTCTCCCCTCCCGTCCTCCCTCGGTGTGCCGGGCGCGCCGATCCAGCAGGAAGGCCTGGATGACGGCCCCGACTTCCTCTCGGAGGAAGACCGCGGAGTAAGTTGTGCCTCTCCTCCCGCGGAGCCTCGGTCCCTGAGCCGCCCGGGCCGCGGGGTGAGGAGGGGTCCCCGGCCGCGCGGCCGCCCCTTCACTCCTCGCCACTGTACGGCGCGCCCCGCCCTCCGGCAGCCCTTCCTCCCCGGGGCCGCTCGCTTCCCTGTTTCCCGGACCCGCGCGGGTCAGACCGTCTGCTGAACTTGCCCTTCCCCGGCCAGTGCAGGTGGGGTGGCGGCAGTGGGTGTCCGAGTGGAAGTCCTCACCCAGGCCTCTCTGGGCCGGGAAACCCTTTCTGAAACCTTCCCGGTAGCACCCTCAGTTTCCTCCCCGAAGCAGAAATGGTATGAGTTTATAGTCTAAATTTACCCTTTTGCAGTGATTTTCGCAGTCAGCAAATCTCAGCTCTACTTGTGTCTTGATTTTGCGAAGAACTGGTAATCCACAGTAGCTTTACTTTTTCTAGTATTACTGCCCCCAGCCCCCATTTTTTGCAGGGTTCCCTAGGTTTTGCTGAGGTATGACTGACAGCATAATAATTGTATATATTTAAGATGTACATCTTGGTATTTTGATAATGTGAATATGTTGTGAAATGATTATCACTGTCAAGCTAATTAGCATATACCTCACCAGAGTTACCTTTTGGGAAGAGCACTTGATCCACTCAGCAAGTTTCATATATACGTGTTTATTAAAAATAGCCAACCATGCTGTACATTAGGTTCCAGAACTTAAAACTGAAAGTTTGTATCCTGTGAGCACTATCTTCCCCTTTCCCACCCCGCCCCTGGTTTCAGGCTCTGATTTCTCCCTCTCTATCCCCCAAACCCATTTAGCTTAGGTGAAGGGCAGCAGTGCATATATAGTGCCTTGAACAAGTGTTCACTTGAGAAATACTGATAGATGATCATTGCCATTAACTAAGCAAAGTTCCATGTTAACTCACGCTTTAGTTTTTATTTGTTTTGGTTTTTAGAGACAAATTCTCCTGTAGTCCAGGTTGGCCCTCAGGCATTCTTCCAGCCTTTGCCTCCCAAGTGCTGTGATTACAGGCCCTTACCAACAAGCCTGACTTACACTTTAGTTTTCCATTTTGCTTTTGCTTATCCATCATAGATCATGTGAGAGATGCAGCTGTCAATGGGTTTGGGGTAGGTGATAAATGTTGTAGGATACTGTTGCTAAGAGATAAGGTGTGGAGTGTTAACTGATGACTTAGCAAACTTTTGGGTAGTAAGAAAGATGCAGAAAATGCTGCTCACGTTTTTCATGAACAGTTTGTTGTTTTTTTTTTTAAGATTTATTTTTAATTATGATTATGTGGGTGTGTGTGCAGGTGTCCAAAGAGGCCAGAATAAGGTTTTGGATGCACTGAAGTTGAAGTTAGAGCAGTTGTGAGCCCCTTGGTGTGGTTGATGGGAAGTAAACTCAGGTCCTCTGCAAGAGCAGTATACACTGTTAACCTCTGAGCGGCTGTGAAGCAGGTTTTTAAAGTTAATTAGCAGGGGTGGAGACAGCTCAGAGCACTCATGTTCTTGCAGGAGGTTCAGTTCCCAGCATCCACATGGCAGTTAACAACCATCTATAACTGCCGTTCCAGGGGATCTGACGCCCTCTTCTGATCTCCTTGTGCGTTGCATGATTTGGGTGCATTTACATGCAGGCAGTACACTCATACACATAAAATAAAAATGAAATATTAAAAAATGAAAATAAAATTCATTATGGAGCAGGGAACATGCCATTGCTGGTCCCCCTTTCTTACCGCCAGGTAGTCCTCCCTTCTGTTTTCTTGTCACATGTATTCCAGTACATGGACATCTTCATAGACAGTTCTCTCCTCCCATCTTTTACATAGGTTTGGGGCTTAAACTCAGGATTGCATAACAAGAACTTTACTCTCTGAGCTGTCTTGCAAGTCCAAGATGGGTTTTAAGGAAGATATTTTAAATAGGCCTAAGTATGAGGGTTAAGAGAAAGGCACATCTGAGAGCGAACATAAGGAGCGTCTCTAAGAGGGAGTCTCGGGAAGACTTGGTGGGTGTAGACTCTTCCAGGGAGAGTCGGGAACAGCGGCCAAGTGCTTTTAGAAGTGATAAATTAACTTTTCTCAGTTTGCACAAAAGCATCATAGGAGTTCTGATTTCCAAAATTTTATTTCTTCAATAATTACAAAACAATGTGTATGTATATGTGTAATTCTGGAATAAGACAGAATTAGGTGAGCATTTACCAATTATATTTTGGATTTTAAGAAATAGAAAAGACTGGGATTGTAGGTCAGTAACAGAGCAGTTGCCTAGCATGTGTTGAGGCCTTGGGTTCAATCCTCAGTAGTGGGAAAAAATAATAAAAAGGGAAACTAACAGGGTTATTTGAAATAAAATTAGTTCTAGTGTAGTTAAGCCGATTTTTTTCCAAAAGCATGTTTCCTCTGTTTAGATAACAGCTTTGTGCCATTTGTAGTCTATCAGAAAAGGCGAATATGATTTGTTTTCTTGTAAAATTTGACTAATTTCAGTAAAAGTATTAATTTTTGAGTGTTTACATTGATAATATGAAAAGTAAAATATTTTCTGATGCATAATTTGTGCTAATGGCTTTTTGCCTTTGTAAAATTTGTTTATGGAATTGAAAGTTCTTAATGCATTCAAGAACTTTTCACATACCACAAAATTAAAGAGGGAGGAAGACAAAGATTATTTTAGAATATTGTAGATGAAAAAAACATGGGGAGGGAGGCTGGAGAGGCTCAGTGCTTAAAAACACTTGCTCTTGCAGAGGACCCTGGTTCCATGGATGTTGCCCTCTTCTGGCTTCCATAGGCACTGCACAGCAGATACACATACAGGCAAGCAAAGCACTTATACACATAAAATAGTGATAAGTAAAAAAAAAAATCTTGCCAGGTGTGGTAGTACACACCCTTAATCCTAACACTAGAGGAGGCAGAGGCAGATAGATCTCTGAGAGTTCAAGGCCAGCCTGGTCTAGACCAGCTAGGGCTACATAGCAAGACCCTGTCTCACCCCCCCCCAAAAAATAAGTCTTAAAATTTTTTTAGCAGCGCTAATATTGAGTAATCAAAAGTGAGAAGGACTGTCAAGAGTAGGAGAGAGTCACAGGACTGGAGAGATGACTCGGGGGTTAAGAGCATTGGCTGCTCTTGCAGAGGACCTGGGTTCAGTTCCCAGTATCCACATGGCAGCTAACAACTGTCCTTAACCCCAGTTCCAGGGGATCAGACACCCTCTTCTGACCCTGTGGGCATTGCACAACATGGGCGCATTTACACATATGCAGGCAATACATGCATACACATAAAATAATAAAATATTTTTTAAAAGAGTGGGAGAGGGTCTAAGGGAGGAATATTCTTGATGAAAATTTTAATGTGAAAGGGAAAACAGAAGGTTGAGTTTTCTCAATAGTAGAGTGCTTGCCTGTCCTGGGCAAGTGATTGGGTTTGATTCCCCTGACATTGAGAAAACATCATTTGAGTTAGAAATCTTGGGCCTGCAAGATGGCTCATCGGGTAAAAGCTCTTGCCACCAAACCTGAAGACCTGGTTTTGATCCCCCAGGGTCCAGACGGTAGGGGGAGAGGAAGCAAGTTGCCCTCTAACCTGCACACGTGTGTGGCATGTGTGCCCCCAAAAATGTTTTTTAAAAAGGAGAGAAGAAAGCCTAAATCTCTTTAAAAAAAAAAAAAAAGGAGGACTCTGTGTGTGCGTATCCAGTTCTAACTTATTTTGGTGCTATGGAACTGGTGACATTAGCTAGACATTGTGTTAAGTACTTTGCAAACTGTGTTCCATTAATACCATCTTAACCCTGTGAGCCCTTTCTTCCTCTTTTTATTTAACATTTATTTATTCATTGATTTACTTACTTTAATGTGAGGGCATGTATGGGGGGCATGAGTGCTGTGCGCATTTGGAGGTCAGAGGACAATGTGGTATCCTAGATCCAACTCAGGTCTTTAGGCTTGGCAGCAAGCACCTTTATTCACTGAAAAACTTCCCTGGCCTCCAACAACCACTTTTTAAACTGACACCTGATGGGGCTGGAGAGATGGCTCATTGTTAAAGGCACTGGTTACTCTTGCAGAGGACCTGGGTTCGGTTCCCAATACCCACATGACAATTAACCTACATGGCAGCTAACAACTGTGTATAACTTCAGTTGCAGGAAGAGTCACCTACTCTAACCTCCATAGGCATTGCACAACACAGGTGTACTAACATACATGCAGGTAATACATTCATATACATAAAATAAAGTTAAAATAAAATAATATTAAAAAACTAAACTGACATCTGAGAAGTTTCTGTTTTGTTTTTTTTTTTTTGGTCTTTTTGAGACAGGTCTCCCTTTAGCCCCAGCTGTCCTGGAACTCACTGTGTAGACCAGGCTGGCCTTGAACTCACAGAGATCCACATTTCTGTTGTTTACTGAAGTTTGATAACTTACAGAGTTATTTTGCTATTTCCTCAATTCAGGATCATAAATACTTAGTTTAAATTTCCATGTATCATATCCATCCTGGTAGAAATAGATTGCCATAATTAAAACTTCAAGGCATTGCTTTTTTGGGAGGGGGATCTTTTTGAGACAGGGTCTCCCTGTAGCCTCAGCTGGCCTGGCACTCGCTGTGTAAACTGGGCTGGCCTTGATCTCACAGAGATCCACCTGCCTTTGCCTCCCAAGTGCTGGGATTAAAGGTATGTGCCTGCCTGGCTTATCTATTCAGTCTTTAAGGAATCTTTTCATTTGTGGTTTATGAAATTATGTATTTATTTATTTGGTGGGTGGGTGTGGATGTGAGTGCATGTGGAAGTCAGAGGACAACTAGAAGGAGGCTAGTCTTTCCTTCTACCAAGTGGTTCCTGCGGCTTGAACTCAAGTTGTCAAGCTTGGAGGAAGGTGCTGCTGCCATTATATTGGCCCTTTTTTGTTGTGTTGTTTTGTTTATTTTGTTGTTTTTCAGACAGGGTCTCCCTCTGTAGCCTCAAGATTCCTGATCTTCCTGCCTCCCATTCCCAAGTCCTGGAACCA